CTTTTTTGTAGTTTATAACAAAAAGAAGACAGACTTTTTTTTTTTTTTTTTTACCTGAAGTAGTTTCTAAAAGACAACAAAGCTTTTATTTCATTTGGCCATATTTGAGAACCTTCTTTTGGTTCATCTGAAAATTTAAAAGATTGCCCAGTGAGATCAATGACTTATTCCTCAGGGTATGTAAAAACTGTGTCTTCAATGCGAGAGGCCCAGTGATCATCTGAAGGAAAGGTAAGCTCCTGTTCATTGTGACCTGAAGCAAAGACCCTTGGGGAGCAAATTTGAAGAATCCTTGTCCATTTCTGTCTAGAGTGATCACTAAGGGGATACAGACAGATTTCTTTAAAGTAACGTAAAAGCAAAGTCAAACTTTTCCTTTAATTTTGCACCACTGACATTCGATTTATCTTTGCCCAGTGGAAATAAATTTTCTAATGACAGATTTGCTTTATGTATTTTAGAAGTATGCTCTTCAAAAGTCAACTGACAGAGGTTATGGGAGAACCATTCATTAACTGTAGTTGCTTAACTTAATTCGGAAAGCAGTTCTTTTTTGAAAGCTGACACACACACACACACAAACAGCAAAGTTTAAGTAATGTGAGGCAGTGGCACCTCTTCTGTATTTAGTGAATATTTTATATTAGGATCTTAAAAGTCAGGTGCATGTCTTTAATTAAAGCTTGATAAATCAATGCCAATTAATTAAATCTTATATTTTCTGTGAAGGGACTTGAGTCTCATTTAACGGAAAACTCAAGTCAATCACCAGTCCTTTTGATATAGATATCACTTCTACCCTGGGTTAAAAAGTGTTCCAAACAGCATAGAAGTTAGAATTGAGGAAACTGTCATATGCTGTAATAATGAAGCTGAATGAAGCCAAAGTTACTAAGTGAAGTTGGTACTTTAGACTCTTGACATCTTAGAAAAATCATAACGTCTTGTAAAAAGTGATTATTAGTGATGTTTCCCTTTATACTAACAAAAGTGGGAGCATAAAATTATTTTACATGTTGTTTAAGAGTCTGTGTGACTTTAGTAGGCAAGTTATTATATTTTTCAGTATTAAAACTATGAGTGCTTGTCAGCGTAGTTCATAGTGCGTCTTGTCTGGTACACAGTATTGAATCCCTGATAAATGACAGTGATATTTATAAAGCTTTTTGAGAAATTCCTAAAACTATGGAGATCAGAGGATAATTAGCTGGTTGTTAATTATTCACAGTCTAGCATAAATACATTAAAATATAATTCTGTTTCCTCTGAAAAGAGAAATCCAATTTGTCTTTTATTAATTTTGGCCTGTATTAGTTCCCATTACTGTTGTAAAAAATTGCCAAAAAGTTAGTGACTTAAAAAACCATGTATTTATTACATCACCATTTTGTAGGCCAGAAGTTTGACAGGGCTCTCATCGGGCTAAATTGAAGGTGATGACAGGACTGTTTTCTTTCTGGAGAGTGTAGGAGAGAGGGTATTTCCTTCACTTTTGTGGCTTCTAGGAACTCCCACTTTCCTTTGCTTTTAGCCCCCTTCCTCCGTCTTTACAGTGAGCAATATAGCATCTCTCTGATTCTACTCTTGTGGTCCATCTCTTTCTGTGATCCCCAGCTGGAAAGATTCCTCACTTATAAGGACCCATGTGATTAGATGGAACCTGCCTAGGTACTCCACCAGAGCTTCCCAGTCTCATGGACCCTCACTTAATCAAATATGCATAGTCCCTCTTGACAAGTTAGGCAACACATTCATGGGATTAGGATGTAGACATCTGCCATTCTTCTGCCTACTGTGTGCTCTGTGTGGAAGAATAACTACATTATGACTGACCCTTGTTTTAGCAGTTTTTGTTTCTTGTGTGCAAACTTCTTGCTCTAATCAGTGCCCAATCATATCCTGATTTTAGAACCATAGAATGATAGGTTTGATGAGAACATAGAGATCATATAGTTCAAACCTTCCATTTTAAGAGTGAAATGGATACAATTCACCAGCAAAGTAAGTGATTTATGGAAATTGATTATTTAATGGTGATGACCATGTTTCCTAATGTGCTCTTATACTATTAAAAAGTGTTGATCATAATTTTTATTTACTTAGTTCCGTGGCAGTTTGATGTAGAAACAATCCTTATTTTTTCTTGCATATTTATTATTCTCTCAACATCTGTGTAAAATTTGATGATGTATTAATATATCAAATAATAAACCATTATTGAAACATTTAACTTTGGTTTTCTCAAAAAAAGAACAATTAATGTTCGCTTTATCTAAAGAGATGTGATGCTATACATTTTTTCCTGCTTGCTAGAATTTCCAGACTCTTCCTTTGTAAATGTTACAGAGTTCCTTTATCACAGTCATATCGCACAGAGATCAGTTACACAGAATAGATAGCTTTTATTTCAGTGCAGTAAGCTCAACTTTACTTACATACCAGCGTCATGCTTTTGAGTGAGAGAAATATCAGGGGGTGAAATGAGATATGTTGCGATATCCCCTACACTCAGCAGATATATCCTGATGGCACATGTTACATTACCTGAAGGCCTAGGGCATGTTTGGTAATGGGGCCTAATAAAGTGACGTGACTTGGGATAGCAAATAAGTAGTCTTTCAGGAATTCTGAAATTATCTAGAAGTCGTAACAGAAAATGATGTGCAACTAAATATGTAATAAATTGCGATTGTAAATATAAGCGGATCTTAAATATATTCCAGGTTCATTGCCAGCCCACTGCAATAAAGCACGTCACCCGAATTTGTTGGTTTCCCACTGCATGTAAAAGTAATGTTTGCATTATATGATAGTCTAAGTGTGCAATAGTATTATGTCTAAACACATACATAGCATAATTTTAAAAAAATACTTTATTGCTAATGACCATCTGAGTCTTTAGTGAGTTGTAATCTTTTTGCTTGTGGAAGATATTGCCTGGATGTTAACAGATGCTGACTGATGAGGGTGATGGTTGCTGAAGACGGAGGTAGCTGTGGCAACTGCTTAAAATAAGACAATAAAGTCTGCTGCATTGATTTACTCTTCCTTTTACCAACGGTTTCTCTGTAGCATGCTATCTGTTGGATAGCATTTCACTCACGGTAGAACTTCTTTTAAAATTGAAATCAATCCTCTCCAGCCCTGCCTCTGCTTTATCAGCTAAGTTTATGGAATATTCTGAATCCTTTGTTGTCATTTTAACAATGTTCACACCATCTTCACTAGGAGTAGACTGTATGTCAAGATGCCATTTTCTTTGCTCATCCATAAGAAGTAACTCCTTGTCCTAATGTTTTATCCTGAGAATGCAGCAGTTCAGTCACATCGTCAGGCTCTACTTCTAATTCTAGTTCTTTTGCAATTTCCACCTCCTCTCCACTGAGGTCTTGAACCTCTCAAAGTTGTCCATGATAGCCGGAATCAACTTGTTTCAAACTTCTGTCAGTGTTGCTATTTTGACCTCCTCTCATGAATCATGGATCTTCTTAATAGTATTGAGAATGGCAGATCCTTTCCGGAAGGTTTTCAATTTACTATGCCCAGATTCATCAGAGGAATTACTATTAATGACAACTATAGCCTTACAAAATGTTTTCCTTAAATCAGGCTTCAATGTTGAAAGTATTCCTTGATCCATGGGCTGCACAATGGAGGTTCTTTTTGCAGGCATGGAAACATTAATCTCCTTATGTATCTCCATCAGGCCTTTTGCTTGATTAGCTGCATTGTCAATAAGCAGGAATATTTTGAAAGGAATCTTGTTTTCCTCAGGAATAGGTCTCAATAGCAGGCTTTATTCAGTAAACTGTGCTATAAACAGATGTGCTGCTATCAGGCTTTGTTTTTCTATTTCTAGAGCACAGGCAGAGTAGATTTAGCATAATTCTGAAGAGCCTGAGGATTTGGGTAATAATAGATGAGCATTGCCTTCAACTGAAAGTCATCAGCTGCATGAACACCTAACAAAATAGCCTGTCCTTTGAAGCTTAGAAGCCAAGCCTTGACTCTCCTCTTTGGCTATGAAAGTCTTGAGATGGCATCTTCTTCCAATAGAGGGCAGTTTCATCTATGTTGAAAATCTGTCAATAAAAATAACCACTTTCATCAGTTATCCTCACTAGATCTTCTGGATAGCTTACTGCAGTGTCTACATTAGCACTTGCTGCTTTTCCTTGCACTTTCAGGTTATGGAGATGGTTTCTTTCCTTAAACCTCATAAGCCAACTTACTCTAGCTTCATACTTTTCTTGTGGAGCTTCCTCACCTCTCCCAGTCTTCACAGAATTGCAGAGAGTCAGGGCTTTGCACTGGAATAGGCTTTGGGTTAGGGGAATGTTGGGGCTGGTTTGATTCATGTAGACCATTAAAACTGTCTCCATATAAAAAATAAGGCTGTTTCACTTTCTCCCCATTTATGTTTTCACTAGAGAAACATTTTTAATTTCCTTCAAGAACTTTTTCTTTTCTTTCCTTTTTTTTTTTTTTTTTGAGATGCAGTCTCGCTCTGTTGCCCAGGTTGGAGTGCAGTGGTGTAGTTTCGGCTCACTGTAACCTCCACCTCCTGGGTTCACGTGATTCTCCTGCCTCAGCCTTCCCAGTAGCTGGGACAATGGGTGCCTGCCACCGTGTCTGGCTAATTTTTGTATTTTTAATAGAGACGGGGTTTCACCATATTGGTCAGGCTGGTCTCAAATTCCTGACCTTGTGATCTGCCTTTCTCAGCCTCCCTTGGTGCAGGAGGCCTCATTTAGGCCTGCTTTGAACATGTCTTCCTCATAAGGCTTAATCATTTCTAGTTCTTTATTTAAAGCGAGAGACTTGTAACACTTCCTTTCACTTAGAGGCCATTATATAGGTTATGAATTGACATTTCATTATTGTGACTTGCATATTAAAAATATGCAAGTAGTTATTTGAAATACATAAAATGTAGATATTTTGTATATTTAAAATAACTACATTAATAGTATATGTTGATATGTTCAAATACATTATAATGTATTTGTGAACATTTTCCCAAATTTTTTTGATCCATGTTTACTTCAGAAATATGTAATACACAGGGCTGGTTTTATTGTCATCATTTTATAGATAAGAATTTTGAGTCCAAGTCAAGTTACTTGCTCAACTCTTCTAATCCTCAGCCACCCTCCAGCTTTCTGTGTCTTACTAGTTTACACATATGAAGTGTGATGTCAACAGAATACATTAGTATAACATGAATTGCACATCCTGTTTCAGAATTATCTAATTAGGGGTTTTATTCTCAATACAAAATTAAGATTCAGAGTATATTACTTGAGCACGATTTTTAAAATACAGGTCGAAGTAAAGTTCTTTTTACAGGATTTTTATCTATCTACATTTTTTTTTGTCAGTCTTCCCTAAATAAAGCTAAGCTTGAAGAAAGAAAGCTGAGGGGGTGGAATTCAAAAATAGTTTCTTGTCTCAAGCACCACACATTGATATGATGATGATACATTGTACTGTTGCCATTTTTTCACTGAATCAGAGGTGGTAGGAAATTAAATGGTTTAAATTGCAGCAGAAGAATATATGTTAGATTCTAGGAGTATTATGCCGATTGTAACCACTCTAAGGAAAGTTATTGAGGTGAAGGAAAGGAATTGGAGAAACAAAAATACCATGTTACTTTGTGTAGCGTTTGCAAATTGGCAAATATACTAGGTAATATTTTGGATCTTAGTAAATGATTTACTTGAAATATGAACCAAGTTTTATGAAAGAGTAAAATTCTTCTAGCAGTGTACCCATATCATTAAAGTAATACTTTAAGCCATATTTATCACAACCTTTTTAAAAACCTGTGTGAAAAAATAATGTTTACTTCCCAATAAAACTTACATATTTTTGAGAAAAACAAACGACTGAATATAGACAATGTGTTCCAATAGCAGATCAAGGCATTATGCCTTATAAAATGGAATGAAATTGGTATTTTAATATTCTTTTGCTTCATATAAACAGTGAGATGATATAATATACTAAATAGTTACTTTTCTGAAATGAATCATTATTTTCTTTGGATCTTGCATTAATGATTTATAGGGATTTTTCTTATAAACTTTCAATGTCTTTCAAGATTACAATATGGACTTATATTATTTCTTGCTTATTTCTTTGTTTATTTTTGCTCTTGATACAATTATATATACTTTCTTTCTATCTCTTCCTGCATCCTACATTGCTCTGATCAGGCAATTCTTTGAAATCATAGTCACTGTTCAAGTGCAAGATGGTTATTAAAAGATGGTAAAGCTTCTCAGATATGGCCATAATAAAATAAGAGCTAGAGATGGTGATGAAATCGTCTTCGGCAAAAGTATATCTTTGTGCATCCCTGTACATCAGCTCAATCTCTTACTCCGCCCATGAGACGGTGACCTGCAATCTTATCCATCTTTTCTCACTTGAGGATAAAAGTCACTATTATGTGTGTTGGTCTTTTGCTTTTTGGTGTATTGCTTTTTTGAAAAAGTATGTGATACTCAGTTTATATTCTTCGTCCACTTGTTTTTTATTTTATTACATATTGACAAATTATATGTATTTGGGGGCACAGAGTGATGTTCTGATAGATGTATACAATGGGGAATGACTGAATTAAGTTAATTAAATGTCTATCACCTCAAATACTTATCATTTATCCCTTCTACTGAACTTTGACTTTGTACCCTTTCACCAACGTCTTCCTGTTTCCCTCAGATCCCAGCTTCTGGTAAACACAATGGGATATAATTCAGCCTTAGGAAAGAAGGAAATTCTGTCTTTTGCAACAATATGGATGAATCTGGAGTATATTAGGCAAAATGAGATAAGTCAGGCACATAAATACAAATATTGCATGTCTATTTTCTTGAGGGCCTTCGTACTTTTCTAGTGGGTTTATCTAACCTTTAAGTATTCAGTTATTAACTCTTTCCTGTCATATTGCTACAGCTGCTATGTTCATTATTGTTTACATTTTCCTCTAACCTGCATCTAGTTGTCAAAATTATTCATAGTCTGTGTATGATTGTGTAGGTGTGTTTATGTATATGTATAGCTATGCATGCATATAGATACAGATTTTACTATTTTCGATGGAATGTTTCCATTTTAGTATCTAACCCAATAATATCTTTAACAGTAATCAAATTAATGCAAAATAAAGGCCTAAAAATATATGTATGCATCTAGTTTTTTCTCTTTACATTAGCCTACCCAAAGATATAAAATGACAATGCAGTCAGAAAAATTGGCACAGTGTTCTAGGAAAATAATTTATATGTATGAATCAAGTTAATCTAGTGAATATTGGAGCCAATATTGATTGACTCCCTATATAGGTATCCATGGAAAGCAAGTGACAGAAAATATGAATAAGGATATCTGCATGAAAACGTTTTAGTTAAAATATAATCTGTATCATGAGGACCCTAAAATTTCTATATCCATTCATGACTTCTCCTTTGAATCCAGACTTATATATTTAACTGTCTGTTTGGCATTTCTGCTTAGATATCCAACATAAGGATGTGGAAAATGATACAGTCTTGGCCCTCCTTCAACCTGTTCCTCTTGCAGTCTGCCCCATCTCACTAAATGGCATCACCTTTCTTCCAGCTGCTTAAGCCAAAACCCTGACACCATCTTTGACCTTTTGATTCTCTTACCCCCCACTGTAATCTAATAACACATTCAGAATTTATCGCACCTCCACTGCAATACTCTGCCGTTGGTCATTATGCCCTTACCTCTTCTATTGCAGTAGTTTCTCAACTTGCATCTGGGCTGCCGACTTGCCCATTTAGTCTGCTCCAACCCAGAAGCCGAAGTGATCTAAAGACTCAAATTCTACCATGTGTTACTCTGTTTAAAACCTTATAGTGACTTCCGCATCTCATTTAGAGTAGAAGTAGCCAAGCCATTGCAGTGACTTTAGAGGCCTGCAAAATCTTCCCTCCTGGGATATGTCTGATCTCATCTCTTTCTTGTCTTCTCTTCAACCAGTGTGACCTCCTGCTGCTCCTGGAACAGGCCAGGGACACTTTTCCCTAGGACTTGTGCCTAGGAAGCTCTTCCTCCCTCCCCCAGCCACCTCATTTCAGGATTATTTGTTCTCTAACCTCCCTGAGGTGTTTGTTCGAATATCTCCTGAGTGAAGCCTTCTCTGACCGCCTCAAGCTAAACGTGTGTCCACCCTCTGACCCTTTTCCCCCAACTTCCCAATATATTTTGTTTCCCTTTAGCTTTCACCTCTGTCTAATAAACCATATGTTATCATGTTTATATTTTTGTTTTTATAACTAGGATATAGGTTCTCTGAGAGCAGGGTTTTTTTGCCAGTTGCTTCCATGCTATCTCTCAGGATGCAAAACAATGTCTGATACATAGAAGGCCCTCAATAAATATTTGTTGAAATGAAGTATGCTGTGAACAGTTGTGAAAAATTATAAACAGTCATCAGTAAACAATGTTCAGTACTAAGGGTCTGGCTTAAAAGTCTATGAGCGTTCATGGGATAGAATATTAGGTGGTCAAAGTTTCTAATAACAGAAGTTAACATGCTATTACCTTAAGTGGAAAAGCTAAGTATACAATAATATATATAACATAAAGTCCCTCATGATTGAAAAAGACAGCCTGGATAGGAATATGCTAAAGTTCTAACAGGTCAATCTAGGTAGTAAGGGTGAATTTTATTCTGCTTCTTGATATATTTTCATGTCCTTCCCAAATTTTCTTCAGTGAGTTGAGCTTCCTTTTATAACCAGGAAAATATAACATCATCAACAACAAAAACCCCCAAAGATTCTGCAATTATTTTTAAAAGACCGATTAAAACAAACAAAATAACTCTGACATTTGCTTGGCCTTTTTAAAATCATGCATCAGTTGAGTCCTACAATTACTGGGCATTTTCTTTGTGCCAGGCACTGTGGGGAATATAAAGATGAAAGTCCCTTTCGTGACTTTAAGATGTCAGGTAAGAGAGCAAGGACACCTTCCCTCAGTGAAAAGGGACCATAATGCAGGGTGTGAAAAAAGTTCAAGCAAGTGTCAGAGGACCAGCTGAGCTACTGAGAACAAGATCGTTCCTCTTGTTTTGAGAATTTTTCAATCAAAGAAGGATCCAACCCAATTAATTACATGTTTTGCATAACAGCATGTATTATGTATCATACTCAAAATTCACACTCAAGAGCCTTGAAATTATAGGTGTTAGTACCTAGGCATAACAAATAGGTAGATAATATACTACTCTAACCAGAACCATATCCGCATTAATTAATCCCCAAACACCCAGTATGAATCATCCACTGTGCTGGTGCTGAGAATACAATGCTAGGTAAAACTCAATCTCTTTCCTCGAGGGATGAATGGACCAATTTAAAAACAAATAGGCGCCTGGACATATTAAATACAGATTGGTAGGTGATACAAAATAGAAATATTCAGAGAGACTTTGGTTGTGAAAGCCCACTTGGGATGGGTTTTTCATTGACTGATTTGACAAAGGATTTCCACAGAAGGTAACATTTGAATAGAGAAATAAAATACAATTAGTAATTTACTAACATAAGGAAAAAGTCATGATAAGAACTGGAGAATGCTATCAATTTTTTTCTGGAAAGAAGAAAGATCCTGCAGAAGTCACAACTGGGAGAGAGGGAACACACACGTGCCTGTCTGCCTGTCTACACTGGGAACCAGAAGGACTGGAGGATTGAAAGGAGGTGGGGTAAGAAGAGATAACTAGAGCTTTCTTTTAATATTAGATAAATCGTGATGTTGATAATTTGTAATATAAAATGTAATGTTACTAAATATATACTAAAAGTAGATGACTTATTGTGAAATACTACGTATCTGTCTGTTCTTTCTTAAAGTAAGTGAATGCCCTCTTGGTGCTATATACACTTAGGAGATCCCTATCATTGTTTTCTGCATGCAGAGAAACCTTTAAAAACCATGAGAATAGTTGTTTCTCTAATTTTGATTTCTACTTAGTAGGAAACTTTAGTAATCTATATGTAAAATGTCTTGGCTACAATAGACACCAGTATACGTTAGGTCTTTACCATCTACCCACCAAGAAGGGCAATGTCTAAGAATGAGGAACCTGTTTATTTATAGCTTATGGCATAAATAAATAGTTCATTTTATCTTATACTGATATATAAATAATTACTTGTGAACTTATTGATGGAGGTTATACAGCATTGTTCCTTCACTCAACGTGGTTGTAAAACTTACTGTATACTCAGCCCAACAAGCTGCATCAAAAACAGGCCAGGTTTGGAAAGCGCTTTGGCCCTAAGGGAAGGATATGCATTGCACATTCTCAGTGCAGTGGATTCCAAATAAGACACTTGTATTTAGAATTAATGAGACTCTTAGAGAAACATCGTGATTGTTTATTCAATGTGATGCTTCAAATTACCTCTTTCCAAAGTCTTTGAAATCAGTCTGTCAAATAATCATCAGGAGTAATTAGTTTATGCTAAACTCCCCATATGAAATTTAAGGATGACAAAACAAATGGTTGGCTCCATTACAATTCAATTTGTTGTAACTTGATTGCTATTCTCAATATATGATAAGTAAGGAGATACTCCTTCCATCATCACACCTATCCAGCTGCCTTCAAGTTCTTACATCCACAAACATAAATGAGAATCTATAATGCTATTTTCAAGGCTTATGATATTTGAAGGAAGACTAGAAACAAACAACAACAACAATAAAAATAGAAGAAGGCTACTACTGGGGAAAAAAACAAAAACAACAACAAAAAACAGATGCCAACAAAGATAGCTATAAGGAACATGTCTGAATTCCAGGCCAGGTCAAAGTCATAATCTTGCTTAGTAGAGGTTGAAATCTAGAAACCAGGCTGGGTAAGATTTCAGGAGACACAAGGCTGTGAAACTAATAACGAAACAGCCATTTATAACTAGACCCAAAAGAGTAAAGAGGGTGAAATATGAAGTGTGAAACATCATTTGATCTTGGACAAGTGATTTCTGTTCTGGGCCTTTGTCATTACTAAATAAAATAAGGATTAGATCAGTAGCTCAATTCTTTTTTCTTCCTTCCTTTTTTCTAAGCACTGAAACTCATTTTTAAAAACTATTCTGTGTATTTAATGTATAATATTGAATATAGCTGAAGCACAAGTAGGTATGAGCATCGAGTCTTGCCTTCTGTTCAACCTCTTGCCTGGAGTAACCACAAACAACCTTTTAACCCAGGATTCCAAGGAACACAACTGACAAATACAGGAGGAAGTTCCTTCTGGTTCTCACCTTGCACTCTGTTTTTTTTTTTTTTTTTAAGTAGCCCAACATTGAGGTTAGGGAGGTTCACGGACTTTCCTCTTTCTGTTCTGCTCTGTTTCATCACCAGATGAAATAGTTTTAAAGTAAGATATGAAATGAGAAAGAGTTTACCTCTAAAATAGGAAACCAGAAACAAGTAGAAGAGACCATGTAAATTTACATCATTTTGAAGTTCCTTTTCAAAAATAATATTTATCTTCAAAAAAAAATTTTATGATCCTACTCATTAAGAATTATGTATAACTATATAGATGTAAAATGCGACAGAATCAATAAAATTAGAAATATTAAAAAATTAAAAATCAGTGGTGATTGTACACTTGTTCTACACCATATATTTTGCTAAATTCTGGGTGAGGGGGAAATGGGAGGGAGAATGTAACAAAGTCACATTTGGAGTCAGTGGATTTGACCCCAAATGATGCTGAGCCTGCAGGGCCTAGTGCAGGTGGGAAAAGGGAAAAAACTAAGACAGGGTGGACCTGGAGATAGAAAAATAGAAAAAGAGGATAGATTGAGGAAGATATTGCAAGGAGTTATGCTGCTATCAGCAGCGGAGTTGATGTAATCAAACAGTGGGGTTTGAGGAAAAGAAATATAAGTGGTGGGCAATCAACTGGAGTGGCAGAACTGCCATCTGAGTGATTGGTTGATGAGTTCTGAGAACCTAACCAGTCTGAGTGGAATGGGCTAACATCTTTTATTTTTAAAATATCTTTATTATGTAGCAGTAACAAATGTGTTGAGATTGTGTCTACAGATACGTTACCGACAATATTCACTCTAACACATAGATAGAAGGAAAGGAATTTTATATCAACTAGATTTACAACTCTCAGTATGCATAAATCTGACGGGCATGTTGTGAAAATAAATTAGGGAGACAGCCCCAAAATAGACAACATAATATTTTTTATGTTTTTAATGCATATAATTTATAGGCTGTGGTGGACACCATGACATGCTTCCCTGAATTTCTCTCAAGGAAGGACTTCTGCTCCGGCTTCTGAAAATGTGTGAGCAGATAATCCCCAGATGTCAGTCCCATTAGGGATTGCCTCAGATGTAGGAGCTACTTTGCTAAGACCTCACATCTGATTACAGATAGAAACTGATTTGAGATCTTTCTAGCTTTTTGATGTGAGCATTTGGTGCTGTGAATTTCCCTCTTAACACTGCTTTTGCTGCGTCCCAGAAATTCTGCTACGTTCTCTCTTTGTTTTCAGTAGTTTTGATTAACTTTTTGATTTCTGTCTTAATTTCATTATTTACCCAGGAGTCATTCAGGAACAGGTTGTTCAATTTCCATGTACTTCTTTGGTTTTGAGTAAGTTTCTTAATCCTGAGTTCTAATTTGATTGCACTGTGATCTGAGAGACTGTTATGATTTCAGTTCTTTTCCATTTGCTGAGGAGTGTTTTACCTCCAATTATGTGATCAACTTTAAAGTAAGTGCCATGTGGCGATGAGAAAAATGTATATTCTCTCATTTTTGGATGGAGAATTCTGTTGATACCTGTCAGGTACAATTGATCTGGAGCTGAGTTCAGGTTCTGAATATCTTTGTTAATTTTCTGTCTCAATGATCTGTCTAATATGGTCAGTGGGGTGTTAAAGTCTCCCGCTATTATTGTGTGGGAGATACAGAGTTCCAACCATTTGGTCAATGCAAGGCAATTCTAAGGGGCCATGGCTCACTCCAGAACTTCTCTTGAGGTTGGCTGAGGCTGGTGTGGGCCTGAATCATTGCTGTCCCTCTCCCTCTGCTCCAATCTGTATCTTTTCACTCCCTTCTGTGAGATATCCCACATAGACATCCTATTCATTACATTCTGTCTTAGAGTTTGCCTTCTGGAGAATTCAACCGCCAACATGGTGTATGGGGGTAGAGATGGAGTGGGACTGAGTTAGGAACAAAGGAAAAAACAAAGCCTCTTTAAAGTAAGTATGAATAAAATAGGGTTTATGCACTAATTGATTGTGATACTATGCCACACAGTAATGGTTATGATTAATCTGAAGGCCTCTAAAACATACTTGTTATTATTAAAATTAGTATGCAACAATGTGTACATACTAATAATAGTAGGAAAATTGTATTTCTACTTAAGTTCCTTACGTAAAATAAATCGTAGGCATTATTTTCATTGGATATAATGAGGGAAATAAGGTTCAAAGAATTAAGTTAGAGGCCAAGGTCACATAGTAAGTAACAGAACTTGAATTAAGACACTTTCTCTATATTTTGTATTTTGGGCTCTTACTAAGTTATCTGTGATATATTTCCATTTTGATTAGTAGAGTAGAATGCCACACAGGAGCAAATTAATGCCTGAGTTAAATGCAGTTTTTTTGGCCAGGTGCAGTGGCTCACACCTATAATCCTAGCACTTTGGAAGGCCAAGGTGGGCGGATGACCTGAGATCAGGAGTTCAAGACAAGCTTGGCCAACATGGAGAAACCCAGTCTCTACTACAAATACAAAACTTAGCCGGGTGTGGTGGTGCAAACCTGTAGTCCCAGTTACTTGGGAGGCTGAGGCAGGAGAATTGCTTGAACCTGGGAAGGGGGAGGTGCGGTGAGCTGAGAATGATCCACTGCACTCCAGTCGAGGCGACAAGAGCCAGATTCTGTCTCAAAAAAAAAAAAAAACAAAAAAAACAAAAAAAACACACTTTTTTTTTTTTAGTTTTTTTTGTTTGTTTGTTTTTTTAATCTATAACAATATAGCTGCACTGGTGGTAGAAGTGAAGATCTAACTGGTGGTTTGCAGGAAAGGACACCTCATGTGCATAGTAGGCTGGGTTGTTTAGGAGCAGACTAAGGGAACTGAAAAAACTTACTGAAAGTATCACCAGTGAAACAACTGGGAACTGTTACTAGTGAAGCAATAATGTGTGTGTGTGTGTGTGTGTGTGTGTGTGTGTGTGTGTCTCACCACATTGACACAGCCCCTCCTGGTATGTGATATATACGAAACTCAGAACAAAACAATGGGCTGAATCAGGAGACACTTCCCAAGAGTGTCAATTTTAAAATATTCAAAAAAAGCTTGGCTAGTTATGTGTATTTTTACAGTGATTTCCATTATTCATGGTTTTCTAGTTCTATGATTAGTTTTCTTTTGTTTTCTTGTTCTTCTGGTCTTTTTTTGTTTGTTTGTTTGTTTGTTTTGTTTTTAACATAGAGCCTCACTCTGTCGTCAAGGCTGGAGTGCAGTGGCATAATCACAGCTCATTGCAGCCTCAATCTCCCAGGCTCAAGAGGTCCTCCCGCCTCAACCTCCTGAGAAGCTGAGACTACAGGCACGTGACAGCATGCCCAACTAACTTTTAAGTTTTTTTTTTTTTTTTTTTTTAAGAGATGGGGGTGTCACTGTGTTACTTAGGCTGGTCTTAAA